GGTTAATACATCTCATTGATTCATCAAGCCCCGATGTGTGCCTATTATTTACTAAGTTATCTTTGTTAAATGTTTCAAAAGTACAGGAGGAACTATTTTGTTGTTAAAAATTGTGTCCTTAGCTAAAACTGTAAAATGTAACATGACAATTAAGTATAAGACATTATAAAGTTAAATAAAAATGTGAGAAAAAGGAGTATGGAATCTTGGAAAGATCCCAAATTCACTGCAAGGTGGACATGGGTTTTATTTGCAGCAACAATACCTTTGTGGCCTTGAGAACATTATATAGCTGTTGTTCTCCTCATGTATGAGTATGAGGGCTTGAGATGAAGGGGACAAAGAGATTAGATAATAAAATGTCAAGAGAGAAGGGTTATTAAACAGAGAATTTTAAGACCATGAAAGAGCCAGCAGTATTAATAGCAACAAAGACATTGGGAGAAAGAATTGGGAAAAAGATTATCTGTTGTTATTACATTTTAAAAAGGCATCTGTATATGGTGTTCACACAATTATTTTTAAATTATCACCCCCGAAAGAGTTTTTATTTATAATTTAACTACCATCTACCTTCACAAAGTGTGGAACCAATACATTAACTATGGTTAAATTACCAAAACAAAGGTAAAGCAACACAATAATAAGATACTCAGGTTCATATGATATGACATATAGGTCTTCTGCCATAATATCTGTATTAGTTTTCAGTTACAAACTATCATGGAGTGAATGGCTTTAAGAGACACCAGTTATCTCTCATTTTCCACAGGTTAGGAGTCTGGCAAGTTTTAACTAGGTCCTGCTCGTGGTTTCACAAGAGTAAAATTAAGGAGTTGGCCAGTAGCGTCCTCAAGCCTGTGTTTTATTGGATAAATCTTTAAATATATCAACATCATTTTGCATAACCTTGAAACTTCTATTTTCTCATCTTTTCTTTAAAAGGATTTATTTATTTATTAGAAAGAGAGAGTGTGTGTGTTGCTCACGCCCACGTGCAAGTGTTGGGAGGGGCAAGAAGGAGAGAATCTTTCAAGCAGACTCCCCCCTCCTCCTCGATCGTGGAGCCCAAATGCAGGGTTCTGACTCACCACTCCTGAGATCATGACCTGAGTTGAAACCAAGAGTCAGACACTTAACTGAGTCACCCAGGTGCCCCTCTCGTCTTTTTTCCTCCCAACAAAGAACACTGTGTTAATTGTATTATTATTTTAATAACAATAATTTAATAATTATTAATTATTTTTGATTTTATTAATTATTAATTGATGATTATTAATTGTCAATATTTTATCTATAGTGTCAGAAGAGAAGTATTAGTCCTAAGTGATTTTGCTTCCCTTCAAATCAGCACTCATGTCTCCATTTTCTTTTCTCTCCCCCTTCCCTCTTCCACTTCTGTGCATGGGAATTATGTGACTGTTGATTCTGTCCCATATGTCATGCGTAATGTCAGTGGCAACTCACCATAATTGTTGGTGTATAATCATTAACGATGCTAATACTAGTATGAAGGTAGAAGAGGGAGAAAGGGGAGAATGTTTATTTTGTTAGTATTTAGACTGAATATTTTTGTATATTTTCTCATTTTGTCCTCAAAATAATTCTGTGAATTAGCTCCATTTTACAGCCAATGAACTGAGGCCCAGAAATAAGTAACTTATCAAATTATTTTATCAAGATCACCAATGAATAGACATCAGAGCTAAAACTCAAACCAAAGTCTATTTTACTCCAAGCATTTTAACCATTAGGCAAAATTACCTAATGTGTCTTTTTTTTTCTGTCTTCCTTAAGTACATTTGTCTGGAATTTTTGGCAATCTGGGTGATGTTGGCAGCCAAGTGAGAGGGTTCCATGAAGAAACTTCCCTTTATGTTTTCACCAAGCAATGCCCACTTTATCAATAGCTGCAAAGTTGATAAGATGCTTATTAAGGCATGATACCTGCAAGTGATAATTATGTTGTTCTTATATCTGTTGCCTCTCTGAGAAACACTAAGAATTTTTTTTAAAGATTTTATTTATTTATTTGAGAGAGAGAGAGAGAATGAGAGATAGAGAGCACAAGAGGGAAGGGGGTCAGAGGGAGAAGCAGACTCCCCGCTGAGCAGGGAGTCCGATGCGGGACTCGATCCCGGGACTCCAGGATCATGACCTGAGCCGAAGGCAGTCGCTTAACCAACTGAGCCACCCAGGCGCCCCTGAAACACTAAGAATTTTATGAATGTCCTCTCATGAAATTTCTACAGTACCTGTGAGGCACAGAAAGAAATAAATTTAAAGGTAGTGTTCATTATAAGATCAAAGTATCAAAAAAGGTTTAAGCTATCTTTCAGCCACATAAAATTTTATTTAATGTTAAAGTTTAATAAGTTTTCATTGTTCAGATGATAAAGGCTTGTCTGAAATAGTCGGCTGTGCTCTCAGTAATGAAAGAAAAAACTCCACTGCAAATCCGGTAGTATCTTCCTCATGAGAATGACCTCAAGTGAAGCACCACACAAGACAGGGTTTTGAGGTCAAATAGAATTGGGAAATTGTTATATGTCCTTCTAAGAGATTTGTAATGTATTTGTGCATTATGAAGAAGTGGATTTCAAATTTGACTGTGCATTTGAATTGTTGGAGTGCTGATTAAAAATGCAAGCCCCATAGTCTAGGACTGAATTACCACCTAGGAGTGTTATGTTTTAACAATCACCTTATGCAATTATGTGGATAAGTCATTTAAGACCACAACTTTAAGAAATCACATGCTAAAGGCTTTGAGAAGAACTACTTTAAATACAACTGTTTAATGTTCAAATAAACTTTTCCCCAAAACATGTATGACCTACAAATGCCATTATCCTAAAATATATTTTGGGAAATCTTATACTTTGCAGGATACTTTCTGCATTGATCATGTTTTTTTGAGCTTGATTTCATACAATTATTTGTTAATTTTTCAAAGGCTGAATGCAAGCATGATAAAAACACAAGCCAGTTGTATTACCACAATGAAAGTAGAATAATTATAATATTCTAGAGAAATTTTAGATTCCAGGTCTAATTCAAACCCATAGAACATAAAAACAAACACATTTCTTAGTGTACAAGATTCCTCTGTGCCTCTGTCTAAAATTCTTTGGAATAAGGTAGTCAAGATTTTGAGATTTCTATTATTATAGTTGTTATCTTACTTTGCTCTTATAACATAGGCTTATATAGAAAAAGGGGCTCTGTGTAACCATTTTGGAGTCTCAATCAAATAAACCTAAATCTGATCATATGAAAAAAATCAGGCATTTATTAAAATTCTGAAGGGCTAAAATATTTTCATAGCCAATGAATTTCATAGCCAATAATATTTTCATTATTATTTATTCAGAGATTTCATATTGGCCCCTTGTTATCTGTTGGCATCAAGCTGGGATGTACAGCTGACAAATGTTACCTCTAACTTCAAGGAACTGACAATATATTGAGGAGCTAGGCATGCTTACACATATAAAAACATTGTTAAGTGATACAGTTTTTATATGCATTGTACCTTTAGAGCAGAAAAGTATGACTGAGTGCATCTAGTGGTGGAAATGGCATCCTAGGGAAGGAATGAGTAGCTGGTTGTCAGGATGTCACAATGAAGAGAGACTTTTGTGAAGGTGAGGTGGCTGGCATGCATATAGGCATGGGATGGTAAAGGAGCATAGTGTGTATTCAATTAAGAGCAATATAGTGTGAGAATAGGAAGCATATAAAAATAACTTTGCTCTAAAATCTGAATTGGACTAGGTTAAGTCTCCTATAGAACCTTTCTAGTTGTCATCTACTTGTAGAATTTATAGGATGTTGGGATTTGAAGGCAACTTGGGTCTCCTCCCTGCTGTAAGATCCCCAGGAAACAAATGGACTTGTTCAAGTTCAGAGCTACCCAATGGCCATGGACTCTTTGACTCCTAGGCTCTGTTGTAGACATGGAAAGGATTAGAAGAAATCACTCCCCCCCCCAAAAAAGAAGCATATCCTTACAATAAACAGTTTTTGTAGTTACTTTGAAAATGTTTTTAAAATAAAGAGGAAGAAGGGATGCCTGGGTAGCTCAGTCAGTTAGGCATCTGATCTGCCTTCGGCTCCGGTCATGATCCAAGAGTCCTGGGATCGAGCCCCACATTGGGCTCCCTGCTCAGCAGAAAGCCTGCTTCTCCCCCTGCCCCTCACCCCACTTGTGCTCTCTCTCTCACTCTCGTTGCTCTCTCTCTCTCAAATACATGAATAAAATTTTTTTAAAAAATGAGGAAGGAATAAAGGGAGGGAGGTAGAATGATAGACAGTATGGAAAGGGAGAAGAGAAGCAGACAAGGAAGGAAGGAAGAAAGAAAAGGAGGGAGAGAGAAGGAGAGAGCATGGGAGAAAAGGAAGGAAGGGAAGGTCGATATTTTAACCTTGGTTAAAAGGGAAATGAAGCCCAATTGTAATACACTGCCAGCAGTTCTTCAAAACTGTTGAGGCTAATGAAGATGAGAATTCCTGGTTAGTAAAATATAAGATCTTATTTTCCAAAATGTAATCTTTTTTAAGGTACCGATGAGTTTTTGCTAGACAGATTGATGATTATACTGTTCAAATTGCTTCGGGGCTTGCGATATTGATGTTCCTGCCGCTGTAGGGACCACTGACATATTTAAGTCTTAGAGTCCAGATGCATCACAGATAGAATAGTTTTATAATTCTTTACTTCAGTTTAACTGCTTTTGCAAAGAAAGAACTTTCCATTGGAATGGAATTTTGTTGTAGTAGCTGATTTTCATAAGCACCACTAAGATCCCCAAACCACCTGTGAGTGCTTGATCTCTCCTTCGGCTCCCACTCAGAATGTGATGAGTTTATTTTGTCCCTAGCTTGCCCTTTCAGCTTGCATCAAAGTGAAGAAAGTTTCTCAATGGGAAGAATTCAAGGGAACTTTTCTATCCCCTCCTTCATTTAATTTAACTACATTGATCTATTTTCATTTGCAGGTTTTACAAGATGGCAGGACCTGCTCAACAAAGCACAAAAATATTCCCCTAATCAATGCCACTAAAGAGCCAGTGACTGCCCCAAAGGTATTTTATTTGTTTGTTTGTTTTGATTTTGTCAGAAAGAACTTGAATCCTTTGGGTCCAGTGATTTTTCTCTAGCTGAAGCAGGGATGTTGTATTGACTGATACAAGATACTTCCTTCCCCTAGTGCCTCTGCACTTTCCATGACCACTGTGCCAGCCACTAAGTTTTTGTTCTGATCATCTGAGGTCCTCAGAAGAACAAGGGTGAGGGAGGTACATCCCTCCCACCCACCACACACACACACACACACACACACACACACACACACAACCAAGAAACAAAACAAAAATAAACGGATAACAAAAAACATACATCTATTCCTTATGGAACAGAAAAAATTAAAAAAGAGGATTTGGGGAAACAGAGGAGATAGAAAGAAGTACATATCCCCAACAAAAACAAACAACAAACACAATTCACGAACTTAATTCTGAACTTCCTTCTGTACTGTTCTATATTTGACCAAAAATATTCTATCATAGCAATTCTTAGGGATCATTTCACTTAACACAACATTTCCTAACTTGTGGGTTAGATTAATCAGAGTTGGATGGTTTAGCTAAAGTCTTCTCAAAATGGTTTTTGAAATATCTGCCATTTATAAATAATATTTTATGTACTTCCATGAAAGAGAAGTATTAACACATTTACATTTATTTTATTTTGGTCTAGCATTCATTTTCTATATTTGTTGAGATATAAAAATTTATATTACTGTTGTTAAGATTTTAATTTTTACCTTAAACATGTATTTATTTTAACTATTCTAATTGTCTTTTCTGTATTGTTTGACAGAAACTGCAAATGCCTCCTTGTACTGAATGTGAGGTGAAAAAAAACCCGGAAAAACAATTGACCAACTTTGAAGGGAGGGCAACTAGAGAAGAAAAAATACTGTAAATATCAAGAAACTGTGTTAAAAACATCCACTTATGATTGTCTTCATACTCTTTTTCAACCACAGGCTTGGTGGAAATACTAAGTTTTTAAAGCATGCAACTTTTTCACAATTTTCTGTAACTTTATATAAAGTAGTCTACAAATTTTCCAAAAGATTCCAGGCCAATTATGATCCTTAAGCAATAACCTAATTAAAATGGATATCCACAGTCATAAATAGTCATTGTCATCAGTAAATTGCCCAGCATAAATTGGCCAGTTTTGAACTCAAATGCAGTGAACAACATTTAATTCTTCTGGTTCATTGGGTACCTAGTACTTCTATGATCTAGTTTTGAAATCAACTGGAGGATGATAAAAATTTTGTGGATCCTTGGCATTTTTAGAATCCAAATTTCAACCATATCATAAAGATTCTGTTCCACGTTGCCCAATGGGAGTTCCTTTAAGGTTGGAATCTGTGTCAGTCTGAATATACTATTTAAGCCATTCTTTTTATTGTTTGGAACCATGTCTAAATAATGTCAAGGCACTTCTGTCTGATTTTTAGTCAGTTAACAGAATTCATTAAACATGTTTGGTATGATGTAGACAAAATACGTGGATGAATGACTAAATTTCTGACACAATTGATAAGATCTTTTTTGGCATTCTATAGGCACATCCCTATGGTTATCTGCTGGAATTATTCCAAGTTAGGAATTGAGTTCTTTGAAATGCTTGGCAAGATTTTTTTGTGTGTGAAATTGGGTAGTGGAATGTGGGATGACAAGAGGGTTGCAAAACAGAAATATGTGAGCAGATAATACACATTTTAAAATGGGGATTTGATGAAAGTAAAACAGCCATGTAGAACCAATAAACCCAGATTTGTATATTTTGAAAACAAATGTATTATTAAAACAAGTCAACAGCTGTGATCATCGCTGAAGTTGGGTCTCTGTGTAAGAATACACTAATCAGATAAGTGCACTCCTGAATAATCTGAATGTAGCTCACAAGCAACAGGAATTGATACGTGAATAATTGTCTGATTGATAGGATTGGTATAGCATCAGACTTAAAGACTCAAATTAATGGGTTAAATGATCCAGTTAGGTTGTCTGCACTGAATATATTCATTTCTGCTGGCTAGATCCATTTTGCAAACGCACAAAGCATATAAAACAGTTGGTTTTATAGAATGGATCTGCCAAGCCACAGTTACTATATTTGGAGCACTGTATCCTGGCAGGCTATCTTAGGAGATATTGTTAATTTAAGAAAGGAAAGGAGGGAAGAAGGGAAGAAGGGAAGAAGGGAAGGAAGGAAGGAAGGAAGGAAGGAAGGAAGGAAGGAAGGAAGGAAGGAAAGAAGGAAATCTGTAATCAATAGATGAACTTAAATTCTGATATATAATGGCACACCTTTGATCACAATGATGTATTCCAAGAAATTTAGTGGTTCGGAGAAATGGCAGACTATCATAAATAGTATAAGTATTATTATGATATAACCATGTAACAGTTATGCTTGTGCAGTAATTCAGCGTCATTTATCAGTATTTTTTTTTTTTTTAGACTTCAGGCTATCCAAGAAAAAAGAGAATTTATTTTATAGATGGTCCTTAGAGGTTTCAGATGAAGTTACCAGGATAGAAGAAAAAAATCAAGCTCCAAAGTTCCTCTGACTCCTCAGCTCTAACATTGCTAGTTTCGGAGTTCTATTCCTTATAATTTCCCCACTGTTCCCCAAAACCCTAACCATCTCCAATGATTATAAAAGGAGAGCTGCTAATTTAGTTTTAATTAAGCTTCACTTCCCCACACCCTCCCTGTGCTCCAACTTCCCTCCATCAACCCTATGGAAAGTTAATCATTGTTTCACCTTAGCACATGTTTTGAGGCACCTTTGGAAGTAATAAAAAGAGAATTGAGCTGATATTTTCTGAAATTTTTATAAGATGGCTTAATATTAATCAAATTTGAACAGTTTCATTTGTAAATTATTTTTCCTATGCTCTATATCTCTAATATGTGACAATAATCAGTGTGTTTCTCTTAATTACTGGCATGATCAAATGGGACTTACATGAGTATAATGTATAGATTTTTCTTTAACAATAGATAGCATTATGCATCCTGCAGAGTTTACTGTGGTTTATGCATTGCATTATTTGTTTCAAAACAAAAAGAGAATCATAGAAGTGCTTTATAAATATTTTTAAGAAAAATATTATGGAAGTTCCTTTTAATAGTCAAGCACAGAATTCCTTTTTTCCTAGTATGTTATGTGACTTTAACGAATGCATTTTATTTTTCTCAATCCTTTAATTGCTTTAAAATAGCATCCAAAAGGTTTAAAATGCTTTACTTACATGTGCAGCTTTGTCCATAAAAGATGCTGTCGCTTATTATTTCTTTTAATCAACAGCTAGATAAATTGATGTTGTTTTTGAGGAGTTAACATCCATAGCCTAATTACTCTCACATGGAAGAAAATATTAACTGGTAGTATGATTCTATTATGTGCCTATAATGGTAAGCAGTAAAAAATTACTCAAGATTTGCAGAATGTAAATTGACTCCTATTGAGAAACAAACACACTTTCCAATGGAATAAACTTGTTTTAATATAGGTACTAATGAAACTAACAAAAACATATTTCTCTAGTTATTTTAAAATACTAATCAATGCTGTATATCCATTCTAAGTCAGGGATTTGTTTTGGACTTTGTTTTTCCTTTTATATGCATTACATTATATGTAAATTGGATGAGTGCCTAAAATGTATAAGGCCTGAATGCTGACTGTCTATCCAACGCCAACATGCTCAGAAGAAAAGTGACTCATTCAGTAACTCCTCTAGATGTGGTTTTCTGTGTGAACTTAAATCTCTGAATACTGAATATACTAGATGACTAACTTTTTTTTATTATTCTTTAAGCAGATATTTAGCATTATAATGCTATTTCAGACACAATTCTGTTTCATAAAATATACTGAATTACAAGTCTAAAACAGTTATGTGAGAAGCAGACATTTACTGTTTTAGATTACAATGTGGATACCTGGATTAAAACAATATCTGTGAACTTTGCTCTAATGGAATCTTATTTTTATAGCTCAGGTACTGTAAGTAGCACTAATTGCCACCGAGGCTGAAATGATTACTCATACCATAGAGTAAGGTGAGCCAGCCAGACCTAGAGAGTTATGAAAACATAGACTTGTTTATTTAGGGGACATTTTCTTAGTCATGTGTACAGTCTTAAATTTCCCCAAACTATTTGTTGGATTATGTTACATAATATTAACGGTCAATGATGAAGAATAAAAGTTACTGAAAGATGGCCTATTTTTCCTCAATAAAGATTTGTTACCAAGACTACAATGTATATCCTCCGGCATCGACTAACTGAAAAAGCAAATATTAACATTAAAAATAGTACTTGTTTATATGTATCAAGAGCTAAGGACTTTTTTTGAAATGTCACTCTGGGAGTATCTTCAACCTCTCTTTGCCCATGGCTCAGAAATCTTTCATTTTATTTAGGGGTGTGGTTTTTTTTTTTTCATTTTATTTATTTTAATAGAGTTCCATGATATCATAGATTTTGTATTTTTGTTTGCAAATGAGTTTCAAGTGCTCAGAGCTAGCTACCTCATAGAAGGTGCTCAAATATTTGTTGAATGAATTAATTCAGAACCTGAAGCAGCAAAGGAAGAAAAAAGGAAGCAGAAGCGAGCATATTCTAGTATGTTCAGGAATCAATCATCAGATGTAGTCTTTTAGGAAGAGAAAATACACAAAATGTTTTAGTTTGGGTTTTTTGTTTTGTTTCTAAGCTATTTTTTTTTTCTTTTCTCTGAGAGATTTATCCATGAGCCTGTCCCTATGACTTTAAGCAGAAGAGACGTGGCATTTCTGGATGAATTTTGGAATGCTGCTCAATGTAATAGTCACAATTCACCTGGCATGTGTGTGTCTTTAGTTGGAATCTAGTTTTTTTTTTTAAGTTTTTTTTTTGTTTGTTTTTTGTTTTAAAGATTTTATTTATTTATTTGAGAGAGAGAGAATGAGAGAGAGCACGAGAGGGAAGAGGGTCAGAGGGAGAAGCAGACTCCCCACTGAGCAGGGATCCTGATGTGGGACTCGATCCTGGGACTCCAGGATCATGACCTGAGCCGAAGGCAGTCGCTTAACCAACTGAGCCACCCAGGCGCCCCTGGAATCTAGTTTTGACGTTCGTGTGGGTTTACACGGGCCACTTGATTTCATTTAGTATTTAAGTTTCTAACTTCTTGGGCCTTAAACTGTTGGACTTAAATCAGAGATTTTCCTGTGCATTCTGCACCATTCTGCAGTTGTATCTGCTCTCCTAGTCCTTTAACAGACTCAGCTCTAGGGCTGCTGAGGAGGTAAATGCACATCTAAAAGATGGGGCTCTGGACTCCACAAATCCTCACCTTCAACTAGAGTAGCTATTCTTTCATATAATTGATTTGTTGGGCTTACACACCCTAAATATACTTTTTTTTGGCCATTTATATCAGTTTTATTTATTTGGTATGTGTGTGAAGTTAATTTTTTAAGAGTTTTTTTTTAAATTAACATATAATGTATTATTTGTTTCAGGGGTACAGGTCTATGATTCATCAGTCCTACACAGTTCACAGCGCTCACCGTAGCACATACCCTCCCAAATGTCCATCACCCAGCCACCCCATCCCTCCCACCCCCCACCACTCCAGCAACCCTCAGTTTGTTTCCTGAGATTAAGAATTCCTCATATCAGTGAGATCATGTACTTGTCTTTCTCTGATTGACTTATTTCGCTGAGCATAATACCCTTTAGTTCCATCCACGTTGCTGCAAATACTTTTAATGAAGAAAGGGAGTCCAAGTTTAATTTGATTTGAAAAATCACTGACTACAGTAATCTCTACGATCCCTTCTCCCCATGTGTTCCTTCAGTCAGCCAGTCATTCAGCTATTCAAAAAATATTCCTGTGTCTGCCATTCCACTTTCTGTCCAAAATAGCAATGGCGAAAGGAGTAACTGTGAGCACTCCTATTGCACTTAATGTTCCAGCCCCTTCTTATAGAGCTCTTTAAAAGTTTATTAAATATTCTCTTATTTGAGACTGATACCACAGTTACCCTTATCTCACAGAGGAAACTGAGGTAGAAAAATACTAATCAAATTGCCCAAGATAGTGCAGCTGGTAAGAGGAAGGGGTTGGATACAGATGCGCAACGAGTTGCTGGAATCCATATGCTGAGCTAAGTAACCACATTACCTCTCCTACAAAAGCCAGAGTCCTGCCTTCAGGGAGCTTA